TTTACTAGAAGTATATATATTTGTGTAAAGAATATAACAAGCTAGTGGTTATGTCGACTTAGCAGCATACCAACTGTTATTATTACAACGCTTTATATTATTTTTATTTTATTTATTCATTTTAGAATTTAGAATTATTTTGGTGAAGTATTATTTCTAGACATTTTCAGTTTTATTCTGAAAATGTTATCCAGTTTTGTAAATACAATTAAAGGGCTATTTTTATCTTTGGTTAGAAAAATACACCATGATTAATGTGGCATAAAAATTTAATTTTATTCCTTAGCAATGGGCAAACCCAAAACCGGCCATTTAAAAGATAGTAACACAGAGTCATGCTACATTGTCGGAATGTTTTACGGATTGTATAGGAAATAAAGCACATAAAAAACATATATTACTCTTTTAATTATAATATTACCGTAAACAAAATTACCAATCAAAACAAAAAGAAAAGTTGTCAACCGTTATGAGACTTTCAAAATTAATTTTTTCCCGAGTGATGTGGCGAAATAGATAAATTAATTAGGTCACATTTTACTCAATACATGAGCATAGTCGTGTAAAAGCATGTAACTGTATGATAAAAATTTCCAATTGAACACAACTCGTTATACAATGGAAAAATAGACTCCACCTATGGAAAAAAAAATAAATAAATTATAAATTGCAGCCAAAACAAACAAAGCTCACACAAAAAGATAAAAGAATTTTATATATACGCACACAAAGAAAATGAAATGGAGGTGTATGTGCGTGTTTCTCCCCGAGGAATGAGACGTCCTTTTCCTAAAAGTTTACTGGACATACAATTTGAATCAAGTGAAAGTTTCTAAAATTGGCATTTTATATATTTATTTATTTATTTATTTATTTTAACTGTTGAATCAGAATCACACTTACTCTCACACACAACCATATGTGTCGATCCAATTCGTTGCATAGTGTGGTGCCAAATCTAGCAGCCTATATATATTAATATAAGGAAAAAAAATAGGAATTAAAAANGTATTAACCATATCACATGTATGTACATATGTCTAAGCATTAGGCATCATTAACATCAATCCCCATTTAATGATATACGCATCATATTGCATAGAACAACAAGAAGTGCATTTTCTAGTCGTATTTTACTGGCTCACGTCCATCATCTGTCAATGTCTACGAGTCTTGATTTTGACCAAAATATCCTTTCTTTCTCGGGCTGCTTTTATGTGTAGATGCTTGTACACAAAGTGGGATTTTGTGGGTGTGTCTTGTTTTATATAGGTTAACTCTATTGTACATTGTGTGTTTTCTCAATAGTTAGAACAAAGTGTACACGGATTATTGGATGAGACGAATTAATCGTTAGACTGATAAATTAAATTAATCATACTATAGATATTTATATTACCAAATGTTATACTTTGTTAAATTAATCAAATCTTTTCTGGGACATGAAATGGCAGAGTGAAACTTTGCTAAAATGCATGGAAGCCTTTCTAGGCTGCTACACCACCTAAAACCTAATAAGCTCTATTATTACTCCATGATCTATTGAGTGATAATGCTGCAAACCAAGTACACTGACTTTTGTACATTTTTATTCCCAATTCATTGACCATTTTCCCGCGGATATTGGGGAACACAACAGCCTCGAGTTCAAAACCAGCCACAAATCCAGTAGAATATCCACCAAAAATTAAATAATATAATAAAAAAAACATAGTAGCAAAATTCACACACACCCATATGTTCCACAAAACATCAAAGTCATAAAATCTACATCAAGATCATCAATATCGATAAAATCCCAACCACATGAATAACAACAACAATAACAATATTTTAAAAAAAAAAATTAAACCGGGGCACATAATCATAATTGAAATTCCAACAATAATTCACAATCCCAACATCTAAAAAATTAAATAAAAAAAATACAAAATAATAACAACAGCAAACAACTAGTGTAGCTAGCACAGAAGAAAATACATCTCATCATCTTTCG